CACAGAGTCAACATTTAAACACACTTCTGTTAAAAAAAAAGCTAAATAAGATTTGGTTTGTAGTTGATAGTTTCAAACACATTTCAGTGTGGAGGAATGTGTTTCTTTAACCACTACCTGTACTGTCTGTATGCAGAGGCAGGCCTGATGCTCGTGGCTCGGTCATTGGGAAAAGCCAGAAACTCTTCGCCCTCTGCGTTCTGACTCCTCTCTTTGCGATGTACGTGTAGTCGTGTTTTGTCTGCGCTGAGGACAGCAGCATGCGCCATCCCACGACAGCGGGCCAGTTCGCTGGACTGAACGTGAGGCTGTGATCCGGTTGGATTGGTCACTGCTGGAGTGATGCCTGGGAAGCAACCAATTAGAGCAGGACACATACGTGTATCAAAATCATCTCATGAAACAACAAATCTGGTGATATTCAATTATTTTTTTACTGTCAACAAATCCCATGAAAAGACCTGAACCGACAGCAAATTGATGCTATGAAAAAGTATTGTGTGTTCATCAAAGCCTGATATATCTTCCCGCTCTGTGCCCCATTGTTGTTCAAAAACGATTAAAAACCCATCAGTGAGCCACACTGTTGCACAGCGTGAAATGTTCCTTCATTACCATGAACACACAAACAGTAGTTTATTTTGACTGGAGCTCACATACACCATCCTGCTGCGAGCACCAAATGTGTATTCATCCGTCAACAGAAGTCAGAAGCATTGAGAGACAGACTCATTACTGGTTTTGGTCTTTTTACGGGATTGTTCGTTCATTATTCACCTGGATTTAGTTTAGGCACAGGATGTGTGGTCTCACTGTGGCAGACAGCAGACAGGTGTAGACTGATGGTGTGGAAGCTGCAAAACTCAAGTCTAATATCATCCTCAGCAGAGTTGCCACCCCTGTGAACAACATGACCTAAGACATCTACCTTCTGACGCACCTGGAAGCTCCCTTGCTGCCGTGCAGTGAAAGACAAAACTACATCCTGGGGAGTGCAACAGAGAGAAAAAAGTTCACACATTCGCTGATCTGCTTGGATTTAGAGATAAATAACTGAATCAAACACCATTCTCACCTGGCATTGACCAGGGGAGATTGTGCCAGTGGAGGGCTTGGCGTTGAAATGCGCTAATCTGCGGAAGCGGAAGTTGACGGGAAGTTGAGGGCAGAGGTTCTGCAGAACACACAGCTGGTCCACACGTTGGCCCGTCACACAGGGGAGGAAATCAAATCTCTGAGAGGGACTAGTCACCAGAGACACAGGCAGTCCAGAGCCTGTCACTGCCAGCTCCACACTGCTGTTACCTAAAGAGACAAATAAAAAGACTGTTTCATCAAAGAATCAGCGTGATCTCTAATTATCATTTAATTAATCAAGGAAAAACCTGCTCAAGTTATCTTAAATTAATTGCTGGCTTGAAACAGCCCTCTGAGCAAAATTATTGTATTATATTAAGCAATGTGACATGAGTCGTGTGTGTGTGTGTGTGTTGTGAGTACCGTTATGGTGAGTGAAGCCATATCGACTTCCCACTGACTCAAACAGCAGGAAAACACAGTAGTCTTGCCGGCTGGCTGAGTTATTGGGCTTCTTGCCTTCAGTTGTACTGAAAGAGAGAGGAATAGTGGTAAAATCAAATGCATAAGGCACCGAAATGGCACGTCGAGCTCCTCGTTAGTATAGTGGTGAGTATCCCCGCCTGTCACGCGGGAGACCGGGGTTCGATTCCCCGACGGGGAGTAACACAGTTTTTTCCCCACTTCAGCATATTATATGTATGTTTATATTATTTCTACGGGATATTTTTATCATACTAGTATCTCCTAGGACGTTACACTGACATTTCTAAGTAGCACATATTTTAATTTTAATGTTAGGCCACTGGGTACTTTATGCTCTTTGACATGAAACTCAGAAAAAAGCATTTTGGTGGTTTCCAGACATATTCAGACACATTCAGAGACAATTTACCTCTTGCACACGGGGCTGAAGCGTACTGTCACAGTGGTTTCGTCATATGGTCCAAGGCGACCCTGCTTGGGTACACACACGAAGACCTGAGAGACGTCTTGGGTGGCTGGGCTGCACTTCTCCATTTTCTCCAGCAGGGTGGCGTCTGTGCTCTTCTGGAGGTCTGTTCCCTGCACAGCCAACACAGTCAAAGCCTTGTTGTGTCATTTTCAGTTTAGTACTTCTACTTTCCCCTGAGGGCAACACTCACCTTCTCAGTCCCAGCAGCTGTATCCTGGAGCAGGCAGACCCAGTCACATGCCTGGGGTGCACTGTTTCTCAGAACCACATTCCCCACACGGGATGTCCCGAAGTATACAGGTCCGAACCACAGACAGGACAGTGGAGCTCCCTGTGAAATGGCACAGCATGTTTACATGAACACCATTTACACGTGGGAAGGCAATAACAATGTCAATTTCAAGGATCAATGGAGTATCAGAGGTAAGTACGATATGGATTCCACTTGAACCAGCAAACTACCTGCAGGTCAAAGACCTCGAGGCGCTGGTCAACCACCTCAGCCCTGATCCTGAGAACGACAGACGAGCGATTCTGGAGTTTCACCCTGGGACAGGAGGAGGGTACGGTTCAGGTGGAGTGGAGGAGCACAATCATACACTACATCTTGTATCATGACATTCTGCAAGCTTCTATAAGAATGTAAAAACAACAATATGTGATTTGACTTTTAGTGTCCAAGCTGTGTTACGAAGTCATTCTCACAGAGCCTTTTCATCAATCTGTCTGGGTCCATCTGTGCGCAGTTCCACTTGCAGCCACTGGGTGGCGCCGGCTGCAACGACTCCACTACAGGGTGACAGTCTGACTGAGGGGTCTCCATCATACTGCACATGGAAAACACCTTCAATGCACACAAAGAAAAACACCTGTCAGTTTATATTACCAGGCTTTAAAACTTGATTCCTGCTGACGGATATAATTTACAGAAGAAGCTAATAATTTAATTTGATGGGTCATTAAATCTGTGGTTTGGAAAATGATGTAATCCCCTAGTGGGGAGTTTAGATACACCATCTCCAAGCCAAGAAAGATGTGCTGGATTTACCTGGTGCCGATCCCTGATTGGTTATATGGTGATGTTTGCTGATCACCTGACTGCTGGCAGCAATGCAGCCGAAGTCTAACACTGAGTCCATCAGCAGGGAACAAGTCCGGGGAAACCTGGAGGAGCACATAAAGAAACGTGTGTGTGAATGAATGATACATAATAATAATAATATACGTCTAGCCTGCTTACCCCAGCAGTGGGACTTCGATGGTGTCCACCTCGTCTACATGAATCAGGAGACAGTCTCTGACCTCCTCCTCGTCCTCCGGAGTGAACTCCAGCACGCCGCTCACACACAGACCAGGAGCCACCAACTCGGCTGAGCTGGACGCCGTGAACTTGAACAACTGCAGGGAAAGGAGTAGAAAAGAAGAACAGGGAGAAAAACCAAAATCAAATGCGTATAAGGAACCACTTTGGTGATACCTTTTTCATTAAAATAAAAGAGTTTTAAGAGCATCTTACTACATCTAGGTCTGGGAAGTGTGCAATAACTTGGTGTTTGTTTTGTATTTGTTTTAATCTTTCATTGGATGAGTGTGTATGTATGAAAGTGTGTGTCTTTAAGCTGTTATATGTATTTAATGTGTATTTATTTACAGCTACTACTATGCACTAGGGGACAATAAAGTAAATACTATTCTATTCTACTATTCAAAATACCACCACAGTAAACTCAGATAAGCACAGAGGGTACAGGACTCATTAAAACAACCTTGAAACAGTGAAGAAAAAGAAATGCATATTAAAAAAAGTGAATATTTGCATTCACTTTTCCCCCAAAATGTTACACCCATTAATTAACCCGTCGTTTTTATTGGTTGACTTCATTTAGTTCGTTGTTTATCACACCTCGGTTTAAATACATTACCTCTAATGCTGGTTTTCCAATCGTTATTTTCCTCAAAGTCTTCCCAACATTTGCTGCAGTGACTGTGGTCTTGTAGACCCGACCGACTTTGACGTCGCTGAACTCAACAAACGGAGGGTGAACTCGAACACAACCTGCAGCCATGTTGTGACTTTGTGTGTTAACTACCACTTACTTACAAAAGCGACGACGCTTTTCCCTCTTCTTGACGTGCATGTAAACTTATTTATCGCTCAGTTTTTCTCGTCTTTGCAGACTCGCATACCGACAGTCAACTTTGCCGTTGCTACCCAAACGTTAAACTAACTGACGTTGGCAGCTCAGGTGGTTTCTAGGCGACCGCTGCGATTCCGTTAGCTGCGCTCGTTTTATCACCTGGGGCAGTCCAGGTGGACGGTGCAACTGTTGATACTTCACAGCACAAACTTATCTCGTTTATTTCGATTTTTTTTTGGATGCCATATGTTTCAAGACAAACTATCATTATTATTCAAAAAGGTGAAATGTTGTCTAAAATGTTGCCCCAGTTACAACTCCGCCTCTTGTAGATGTAAAGGTGTGAATTTGACACACTGCTCGTAACGTGTGTAATATATAATAAATGTGTGATTGCAGCAAATCATAAACATATATCCGCAATTCAAGCTTAAAATAAAAAATACACAAGCATTTATACAAGTGTAAAATTATCAATAGAGTTGATGTGATTTATTTTACAAGAAAAAAAATAGTCTTTCTTTAGTACGTTGCATGTTACAAAAATATAACTGGATCTTGTTAGTCACACAAACATCACATCACATCAAAAATGTTAGTCCTTAAAAAAACAAAAAATGAATTTTAAAGTATTAACAACATATGAAAGACTCACTTTTATGTTTTCGAACAAAAAAAACAAAAACATTTTATTACTTAGTGAGGATTTCACATAGGAACACCAGGGCTCTCCCATATTTCATCATCAATAATATTAGAGGTAGGTGTGATTTTATCTTCGACCGTCAGATCCAGGCTCTGGCAGTCCTTGACGGTTGTCTCTTCAGCATTTCGGATTAAATCCTCTGCAACCTGCTCAGCACTTGAGTCCACAGTGTCCTTGGATGGTTCGGAGCATACATGATCGCTCTGCGAAACCGGGTCCTGACAGTTTTGGTCAACTACAACAGCTTTACTTGTTTCCAAATCATCCCGATTACCAACTCCTGCTGAACTCCTCTCTCCACCAGCCAGAGAGGCCGACCTGGGTACGGCCCTGACTTCCTCTGATGGATTTTCCTGTCTCCCTTCATGCCTTCCAGCTGGGATAACTGATGTGGCTTTATTCTTTATCCCCTCCTGGTTCTGAGGTCTGCTCTCCAGGCCAAAGAAGTTGCTTCGGACAACATAGCGCACACACTGCAGGAGGACATTCCTCTCATGGCGGATATCTGGGGCCAGTAACTGAACAGAGTGGGAGAAAATAGAAAAAGCTCAAGAGGGCTGAGAAGATGCGATATCTAGATAATACATGTTTAAGTAGAATTTTATTGACGCAAATGATGCTTGTATAATCTCCGGAGTCTCCTTACCATCTCAAGTAGAGTGGGACGACGTGTCTGTGGCGTATCTTGATGTCCTCCCCTACCGCCCCTGCCTCCCCTTCCTCCCCTGCCTCTTCTTCCCCTTCCCCTTCTCCCTCCTCTGCTGTTCGGTGTGTGAAGAACAGAGTCAGGCTGGTGGACTTTGTGAGCCTCTGTACCCTGTGAAGAGGTTTCCCAGCCTCTCGAGGGTCCTCTGTCCTGGGAGTATGCTGGTATTGTGTTTAGGAGAGCCTGGTTTTCTTGCACAAGGTCTTTGGCTCTCTGAATGGGGGTGGCTGAAACACAAGGGAAAATGATAATAGGAACACTGGATGTAAATGATGGACAATTGATGAATGATGGATGAATTTTGTACATAAACCCTACTCTGTCAAATTTGTGTCCTTGTGTATCTTGCATATATTTTTATGTTATGTTGTTTCAACAGAATAAAACTAAACTTAACTATAATACAACCTTTCTCAGGTCAAATTAAATTATCAATTTGGGTTACAGGTAAATACTCATGACAACGATTGTGCTTGTAAATCCACATTGGATAGTCCTCATGGATTGGCACTGGTCTGACCTGCTGGCCCCTGAGCCGCTCCACTGGAGCGGTTGGGGTCAAGGGCCTTGCTCAAAGGCACTGTTCTCACTTTCCACCGAGATATATCCTCACCTTCTGGTCCTTCATCACTGTCACTCTCACTCATGGAGCCGTAGTTTGCCACAAGGGAGCCCAGAGCTGAGCTCATCTGTTTAGGAGCCACAACCAGGCCAGTGGTCCTGGACTCAGCAGCTGGGTCCTCTTTGTCAGAATCTGGAGGCGTATGAGGAACACATTACAACACATACCAGGTATTAGGTGATTGTTTACAGTCTTGTTTGAACACTGTGCCCCGTCCATGTCAGTTGGGTCACTCACCGTGGTCACTGCAGGCCAGCGCTCCCAGAGGATCCCCGTCCACGAAGTGCTGGGTGAGGGGTGGCGGTCTCTCTGTGGCACTGGCGTCTGATGGGTGAGGGTCTCGAGGGTCTCGAGGGTGACGCCCATGGAACCCTCTGTTGCCCCAGCCACGACCTCGCCCCCGACCTCGCCCTCTGCCTTTCATTCGCCTGTGAATAAAATATTAAAGTCTAGATTTAGATAAGAGGCCTCACGTCAATGCCAACACAAGTTTGTGCAAAATACATGATTTATGCATCAAATGTGTATATTTACCCAAACTGAGCTGTCTCCAGAACGCCTCCTGTCTCCTCCCGCACCTCCATCACTTTTCTCTTATTTTCCATATTCTGAAGTGTGGGATAGTTTCTGCAAACACAAATTTAGGCTCAAGTTGAACAAAAAGTCAAAGTAGACATCGGTTGTCACAGTTTCAGCAGTCTATGGGGAAAACTGACTTGCGCCTCTCTTCTCTCCATTTCGCAATCTCATCTGGTGTGTCCAGCTTAATCCTTTTAGCTCCCGGTGCGTGGTTCTGCAGTCAGGACATAAAAACACTGATATTAGCATTAGAGCTAAGCGAACGCAAGAGCCTCAGTTTGTCAGATACGAGTCGTTTCACTTACATTTTTCCAGTGGATGCTGACTATTTTTTCATGAGCCATGAAGCTGCAGTCGGGCACAGAACACTACAGAAGAGATGTGATGGATGCAGTCAGTAAAATGTGCATACCAGTATCCACAAGTTACATTAAATACAGCGAAATATATTTATCAAAGTACCTTCACGTGTTGAGAAATATGCTCATCGTACTTCTCCTGGTTCTTGAAGGCCCGGTCACAGGTGTCACAAAAATGGGAATACTCTGGTTCCTTCTTATTTTTCTGCTGTTGGTTATAGACAGATCAGATCACCATAGAACTGTGTTTATGCGCTTTATGTCGTAATGATCCAACAGATAGTTACCTTTCTCCCGTGGTTGTTGGAGGGTCCATAATTCTGTCTTCCACCTCGATGTCCGCCTTGATGCCACCCACGGCCGAAGTTTTGACCTGAAGACAAGGCTAAAGTTAGAGGCATTACATCAAAACGCGCACATCGGCAATACCTACCACAAATTGTACACAGCAGGTCGGGAGGGGCTAGCTAAATATTCTATTGGTGGCATTATGGGTAATGTAGGATCCAGGGGTTTTTGTACCTTGACCAATACTAGGAACTAAAAGTCAGGATATCTTGGCCTCTGCTGCTTTGATTGTGACCATGTGAGCCCCAGCTTTTCTTTAAGTTAATATAAGTTTTTCTCAATTGTTCACACAAAAATACTGGTAGTTGAGACACAATGACCACAACATGTAACTCATGCACCAACCCCCTGAACCAATTCTGCTAAACTACAAGCACAATTCCTGCTTTACACTCAAATTGCAG